AGAGAGAGAGAGAGAGAGAGAGAGAGAGAGAGAGAGAGAGAAACGCAGCGTGTTAGGGAGCTGAGATGGCCTTGCAGGCCAGAGGTGTGCAAGACAGCCAGGGGGCAAGCTTGTGCAAAACTGCAGCCAGGGAGGGGAGCCGGCGTGCAAGAGGCAGGGGGGCGGGGCAGCTGAGAGTGCCAGGGCGAGGGGGAGGCTGAGGGGCCTGGAGAGGTGGAAAGGGTTATTAGAGGGGCGCAGGTGATGGAATCGGAGGGTACACCTTCCCCTGCGGCCTGGGGGGGCAGCACCCCCATCCGGTCAGGCTCTGGGCTGACCCTCTATGGCTCTGTCTGTCCCCCTCCCCAGTCGTCCTTTCCCTCCTTCTCAGTACCCCAGTGTCGTTTTCTAATCCCCCTCTACTCCACTCGCAGTCTAGTGTCAGCTGCCCACCTCTTGTGAGGTGCCAGTGTCTGGCCTGCATCCAGTCCACCTGGGGACCTCAGTCAGGCCTGGGGAGACGGGGCAGGGCACGGTTTTAGCAGAATCCCTAGCCCCCTGAGGGGGTGGGGAGAGAATGATGGTCAGAGGGGTCAGAGGTCAAAGAGGTCAGCGGGCTCAAGGGTCCTATGGACAAGCTGGTCCGTCCAGGCCAGCCATCACCTCTCCAGGAAAAATTTGAGAGCCCGGTCAATGTTCATACGGTGTCCCACCCTGGTCACGCCCAGGTCCACATAGTCCTCCTTGGTCAAGGCGGGCAGGTGGGAACCATCAATCTCGTGGTCCAGGAACTGGGCTCGGTGCTCTGATAAGCCCAGCCACTCCAGCCAATCGGCGACATCAAACTTGGTCCAGAACCCCAGAGGCTTGGCGCCAAATGGCTTGTCCGGGGGCAGCGAGAGCAGGCGGGTGGGTGACAGGGAGCGAGAGGCCCCTGACAAGGCTCCTCCGAGACCCCCAGATATCCCGGGGTGTGGTGGCACAAAGACTGGAGCAAAAGGGTCAGCTGAGCCTCCTGCCCCTCCAGTCGGGGAGCTACGGATGTCGAAGAGGCCCGGGTAGAGGGGTCCTGAAGGCAGGATGGGCAAAGAAGAGGGTCTGGGCGCTGGGCTGACCTTGTGATCCGAGGCAGGCAGCAGCGAGGGGCTGGGTGCCCGGCGGAGCAACGGAGGCCGCATCTCAAATTCCACGCCCTGCAGATGTCGGGTGGAAGCTGAGGCAGATGAGGCTGAAGGGGATGTAGCTCCTGGGGCTGCAGCTGTTGACGAGCCCCCGGATCCGGTGGGGAGTGGAGGCAGAGGGGGTTTAGGCCAGTTCTGAAAGATGCTGCTGCTGGGCTTGGAGAGGAGAGAGGTCTGGGAGTCTTCGGAGAGCCTGGAATGTGACAAGGGGTGGGGCGGGGGCAGGGGTGAGGGAGAAGGGTTTGGGAGCAAGTGTTGAGGGCAAGGGTGAAAAAGAGGCCGAAGTCATGATTCAGAGGGAGAGACACAAGGGTAGGGGCAGAGATGGAGAAGATGGATGGTGGTAAGGGAGGGTCAGATGAGTGTCAGGAGAGAAGTGAAGGGCAAGAGATAGGACAGGGAGAGGGTGATAGCCAAGAGAGATGGAAGAAAAAGAACCATTAAGTGACAGCAATAACACCCGCCACCACTTGCTGCAGCTCGTGTGTGTCAGGCATTGTTCTAAAGGCTTTCTGAATCACATCTCAATTTAATCCCCACAACAGCCCTGGTGGAAGGTTACTATTATCGTCAAGAGCACAGAGAGCTTAAGAAACTTGCCTAAGGACACACAGCCAGGGAGTGGCAGAGCCCAGTTAGAAGTCACCAAAGTCTGAGCTCTTAACCACTACTCTATACTGCCTTTTTTTTTTTTTTTTTTTTTTTTTTTTTTTTTGTTATTGCCCTTGTTTTAAAAGAGAAAGGACGGGGGAGAGAAAAAAGACAAACACAACAAACA